CCCCAAAACCCCAAAACCCCAAAACCCCTGGCAAACTCAGTAAAATTGAGGTGCATTAGAATTAGATATTATATCTGTTAAACATCTTGGAGTATATTATATTTATTTCTGATGTTTCTAGAATCAACTAGAACTCAAATATGGATCCAATCTCTCAAAAATTGATGGTCTTTCTAATTCAACAAAAATATATAGCCATCCTCTCTTAAATGTGGTAAATCAATATCACCAAATAAATATAAATCCCTCACAAATTTCTCTCCCACATAATATTACCAAAACTTTAACTGATCATCAAAGATGACGATGAAGGCTCTAAAAACACCAACTAGCTCCAATTCTATGAAGAAGGGGACTGAACTCAATCCAGATCTACGAAAATCCTTAATAAAAAAGGTATTTTTAGTCCTATTTCTAATATTTAGCACAGTCTGGGACTCTTGGTTAGCTCGAAAGTGTCTATTGACCTACATATTCTCACAGTTTGAAGTTACTTTAATCCAATCCAGCTTCTTCTCTATTAAAGCCTCTTTGTAATTCGGTCGTTCAAATTCCTGAAATATTGAAATAGAGTTTTCGTCAAAATTAAATTCTGAAATATGCCAGCTAAAATTGGTGAGTGAAATTTAATCCAAATATTACTAAAAGGGTCCTCAATTGGCAAGTCTTAATTTAGGACCGTTTGATTCACCTCTGGATAATCCCAGATGGTACTTTGTACTTTGATAAGACAAAATAAATCTCATGTAAATGAAACCACTAAATAGTGTTGAAAGCAGGTAAAATAGACTTGCCTACAATTTATCACAGTGGCTCTTCCGAGGAATTCATTCCCAGAACAAGAGTTTTAATGCCGAAATTACAAAGCAAAGAGTTCTAAAGCTTGTTGAGGTTCTGATAATCATTTGTTGCATTTTGGTTTAACAGATGCTCATACAACGAAAGGCTTGTTTGAAGAGTTAGATGTGCAAGCTCAGAGTCTTCTAAGAATACTGAAAACCTAAGGAATTTAAGCTGAAACTCTTGAATTCTAAATTTGATTTAAATGACTTAGAAACTAAAATTGTTTAAATACATTTTGAAACAACATTTTCTTAAGAGGTTTCATCAACACTTAACTGCTCAAAGTTAGAAGTATAAAGACCAATATACAAATTCCAGAGCTTGAGTAGCTACAAAAACTTTGTTCTGAGCGGATTAGAGACGAAGACAAGAGGTCTAAATAAGCATCAAATAGTATGGCTGAAGAAGTGGACAAGAAGAATACTGAAGTCTCATTTTATCCTTGAAAATACAAGAGATGAGCTGATGCACTGCTTTCAATAATGAACAAATCTTCACTCTGGCTGGTGCAAATATTTTAATTGAAGAGTAAAGGCTGAGCTACAAGAAATTAGGATATGACAGTCCAAACAGAGACATTAAGGTGAAGGTGGGAAGAATGAATGAATGGAAGACCTTGATTACATTCAGGAAAGTTATGTGTTATCACTTATGTGGATAGATTTACTACAAACCATTAAACTGGTAACCAGCTTGACTGATGGCAAAGAACAAAAGGTGGCTAGCAATCTTTGATTCCTCTTGGGTTTAAATGAGTTTCACAGTTGCTTTCAACAAAGATAAGCATGAAAGAATGATGGGCTTCTGAGGACCCACAAGTGACATAAAATTCAGTTATTTTCTGTAGCTGATATTTCGCAAATGAAAATGGATTGTTACCAGTAAGATTAAGAACATAAATTGCGATGCACAATTGTAGTATCCATAAGACGGTGAGCACCAAGGATTACCAAGAATATTGCAAGATACTTGGAGCAGACATCCCAGCTTACTCGCTGTTCATGAACATATGAGAGTATCTCATTCAGAGTATCAAGGCAAAAGTCTAAATAGTTCATTACAACCAAAGGTAGTTTCAAGTATAAGAACTTGTGAAGGCTGATATCTCTGAGGAAGACTCAAGAGATTTGAGAAGAACATAGATCCAGCAGTTTTATGGAATTCATCAAAACTAATAGAGCTGAGCCTAGGCATAAGCTAATGATTTTGAATGGTAAAGACTAGAATTCTCATCAAATAACTCTTTCAGCAATGTATGAATTTCTCTTAAGATCTTCACTTTTCTGGTGGGCAACTCAAAAGTAATGCTCATAGTTCCAAATGGAACATTTCTAGGTATATTTGGTGAACACATAAGAATTCTTGAATTCTTCTTGAGTAAATCTGCAAAACATCAAATAATATTATACAGATTATTAGCATTATTGCTTGCAAATAAACTCAACTCAATATAGAAGAAGCAAAGTAAGATGTTGAAAGCATACATAGACAAGGAAGGTTGGAACCAAGTTTAGATCTAAGTCTGACTTGTATAAACAGATGATTGTGAATGGTAGGCCTCTTCTTTCAAACCAATTTAGATAGGTGTATTCTTCATCTGTATTAAAATCGCCCAGTTTATTTTATGGAGCAAATACTATCTCGAATGAAGAAAGGAAGGAAGATGATAAGGTAGAGTTAAAGACCAACTACTCTTATTGAGGCTTTCAAAAATCACTTAGTCATTCATTTGGAAATTCTAGAATACAGTGAATTAATTATCAAAAAATTGGCATCAATTTAAGAATATTGGCAACTTCTCCACATACATGTCTGAGATTTCAGAGAAGCAGATGTCAGATAAAGAATTTTTCTATGCTATCTTAGCATCAGTGTATTATGATGAAACCCAGAACTTAGACAATTCAGTCAAAACTAAAGAACGTTGAAGGAAGGTAAAGACAATAAAGATTATATTAAGATTAACTCAGCAATGAAGAATGAGAGAGAGGACCTCATGAACTTTAAAATTAAACCCTAAATCTTCCAATTTTGACCTTTCATAGTTTCTAAGAGTAGAACAAACTTCTTATTGGAGAGTATTACAAAGGCAAATGGAAGATGAAAGATGCCAAGAAGTTTGATGTGGTCTTAACAAATACAAGCCAAAGATCAATCTGCTCAGAGAAATAAGAAGAAGTGGCAATATTAGAAAACATTTCAGAGACGACAAGGAAGAAAGCAAGAAAGATAGCAAAGTTGTATGCAGTAATAAGTTCAAAATATTTACTTGAGAATAAGCTTTGCCTTCAAACTTTCATCAAATTAAATTATATCTAACTTAGAGTCAGCTGTGGCAGCCATATATTTTGACCCAGATCTTCATCTTAGTTCATATGCCCACTCCCAATCCTTGTAAAATCTTGGTTAGACATGAAGCTTTGGACATATTTGAATGCACATCAAAGGGAATCAGTTGAAGAAGTAGTTTGTGCAACCATTGAGGTTTGGCTTAGTCCTACCAATCATTAAATCAGAACTCTAATCATACAGATGATACAAGAATAACATTGGCTTTCATTCTTGCAAAATTTATTAATCTTAATATAGTTAGCGCCACCCCTTGTTAACATGTTTGGAATATTCAGAATTTAGATGAGGGAGGTAAAGAAACAGTTATCATAAATTGGAGGAATTTTGACATACATACGTTAGACAATCATCTTTGCTACAATTATTTTCTAAATATTTAAACATAACAGTAGACATTGGGGTTTTGGGGTTTTGGGGTTTTGGGG